ACCACATAACCACCTACCGTCAATCGGCCAAATGCTTTCTTCTTGTACGGGGCACTTAGCCTGTCCTCCGGGTCCCTTGCACCGTCGGAGACGCGGGGATGGTCGTGAAGTTCCCCTGCGTATTTTATTTTCGTCGCCGCGGTTCTCGCTTGGGGCATGGAGGGCTCGGACGATGCTCGGTCATTGCGCTCGCAATATGTAGGAGCCGGCGGCGCGAGGGGAGGCATTTGGCTGGGAGGACAGGAGTCGATACTGCTGCTGCTGACTTGAGAATCCTTGTGGCAATGACCGGTGAAGCGACTCGGTGTCAGGGACGGCGACCGAGTATCCAGAACGCCTATCCCAGTAGTATCCATGCCGCCGGCCCCCAGGGAGGAAGGCAGCGAGACACTGGAGGACGCCGCGTGCGCTGCTGGACGCATCAGCTCAGCTCAGCAATCTCCCTCCACCTACAACCCGGCAATACCGGACCACCCACCGTTCCGCGGCGCAGCCGCCTCATCCAGCGCCACACCCAACGACGAGACCGACCCCCGGCTATCCTCGTGTCCGTGTCCATATTCCCCAAACCGTGGAAACGAGACCATCCCAGTTGTCGTCGTGGTCCACGACCGAAACATCTCCTCCAGCGTGGTGTTTTCAGTGTCCTCCCTCGCACCGCCAGATGCTATCGTGCTCTCGCCCTCGATCCCAGCAGTGCGCCGCCCATCGTCCGCCCCAACAGCCGGAGAACTACCCATCGGGGCGCCATTAATCGTGAACTGGATGTGACTCGCAGTCGGAATATCATCACCAGCTCGTGGTGGTGAGGAAACCCCGGGGTGGGCTGTCGTTTCGGCCTCGATTCCATCCAGCCCTGCAGCTGCTGCTGCCGCTGCAGCACCACGACCCGCCACCTCAGCCGGGGTCTCCTTCCGCTTGACCCGCCATTTACGCTGGATTCGTATTCCTGGGTACGGGTACGCTGGCTTCGGCGCCGGCGGCAAACTTCCGAAATGCACGGTATGGCGCTTGCGGTTTGTCCCCGGCGTGTTGGTGGTGGTCGTCATCGTCATCAAGTCCAAAGCTGCGGCGTTCTGCTCCAGCTCGGTGAGCGGGAGAGGGCTGCGGTAGCCCCGGAATGCTTGGAAGCCCTAGATTTCCTCACAGCGACGCGCCAACATGATTAGATCGAAGTGCACGCAACAATGAATGGACAAGGGTGAGTGAAACGGAAGAAATAAGAACAATGGGGTGGAGCTGGGGCTAGCGAGTATTTGTTGTTGTGACATTTCTTTTTTTTTGGTTTGTTTGTTTCAAGCATCGAGACAAGAGACAAATATGATTCAATTATACGGCATGGTATCAATAGGCATAAACATAGGCATAAGCATAGTCACACACACACAGAATGTAAACACACACACACACACACACACACACACACACACACATACTCGCTACCCAGAATGAAACAGAAAGAGAAATTAAGAATCTACCTTCTCAGTATGACCCCCGATCCCGCCTCCCTTCAGCTTACTCCGGCCTCGCGCGAACAGCCCCTTGGCCGCTTCGCCCGCCCTCCCGCCTAGCACCCCGGCCGAGTGCAGCAGTTCCTTGCCCCGTTGCTCGACCTGCTGTTTATTCATCATGGCGCCTAGCGGGGCGGACGGGCGGCGCGCGTGGCCACCGGCACTTATTCCGGAACCCGAGGGCGCACCGCCGCCGGCGGACACGTCGAGCTGCGAGGAGGACCCGAAATTGCCGAGCGACGAGAGCTTGGGGAATTTCTTGCGGGTGACGCCGCCGCCGGCGCCGGCCCCTAGCTGGGGCGGCACGGCGCCGGTGGCCAGCTTGGCGCTTTTGTCGACGACGTCCGCGTGCTCCGGGTGCGAGTGCACGGTGACCTGGATCCAGTGGGCGAGCCCCGTGTCGATGGTGGCGAATTTGGTGCGCGTGTCGTTGAAGGCCTGCACCCGGTCCTCGGGGGTCTTCATCGCCAAAATCTCGCGGAAGCCGAGGAGGGTCGGTTCGACTGAGGCCGGGGCCGTCGGTGTCCATCGCGGGATTTGCTGGTGTTGGTTGTATTCTCCGGAAAATGCTGGTGCGTTGTTGTCTTGGTTCGTGTCGGCATAGCTGTGTGGGATGGCTTCCGCGTGGTAGACTTCGGGCAGTTGTCCGTCGGAGATGGTACTCCGATCGTCGGGGACCGGGGGCAGGATGGTTAGTTTGGGCTTTTCGGTTTCAGGCCCGACCGAGCTGTCGCTCTCCTCGGGGGTTCTGTTGAGGGGCTCCTCCTCGGAAGTAACGGTCTGGGCTGGTATGGCTTCCGCCGGTATAGCTTCCGCCGCGGTGGGACTCGTCACCTCAGCCGCCGGAGATGGTAGAACTGGGGTCTCACGGGAGACAGGAAACTGACCCGGCATGGGATCAGGAGGTGACTGCACACCTGCTGCCGGCGCAGGCTCCTCGGAGGAGGAAGAAGACTCCCACGAGAAACGTCGTGCTAATTTTGGCTTGGATGACTCCGTTGCAGGGGATGTGATTGGCTCGGAGGCAGCAGGAGGCAAGTCCTGAACGGTTGATCCCTGCAGGGCAACCGGAGAAGCGACGTAATCTGGAGTTGCCTGATCAAGGGCTACGGGGCTTGTAGTAGACTCTGCAGCGCTCCAATACCTCTCGTATTCGCTAGGTATGAGGCTGTCCTGGCGTTCAGCCTCTGGCCGACTTGCGGGCTCCTCTTCTTCTTGCTCCTTTGAGGGGGTGGTCTCGCGACTCAATGTCCGCATAATCTCCTTTCGCAGGCGGTCACTCTCCGTGTCTTGGGGCGAATTGTCGGTGCTCATGGAGGGTATAATGATAGGCACCCCATCATGCGTGAGTGTAGGTGCCGACGTCACAGGATGGGACCCGATGCTCAGAGGAGCAGGGTGATCGGGACCGGGTGCTGCGTCGTGCACAAGAGCTTCCTGCGGCGTTTGTTCGCCTGACTGTGAATTAAAGGAAGACGCGACCGGTGTCTCCACAGACATCTCGCCTGCTGCGGACGGATGGGCGCTTTGAACATTGGTGATCCTAGGGGTCCTCGAGGGGCTGTTGTTTGGACTGGGCAGGCTAATATCCCGACGATGACCCGGTTTGAAGACTAGGGTGTCACTCGCATCCTTGGGCGGGGGTGTTCTCTCGCCCGGCTCCTCCAGAATCGTGGGTGTTTTGATATCGCTCTGGCTCCGCTGCGGTATGATGGGACTGATCACCGAGGTACTATCGCTGTTCGACCGTGCAACACTGTCGACTGTCGTACTGGGAGTGTCAGGTACATCGAAGGCTTGATGAACCACAGAACGGAATCCCATGGACGGATTGTGCTGCAGTTGGTGTTGCTCAGGTTCTGGCCCTTGGGCTTCAGAAGTAGAGAAATACGAGTCGCCCGAGAAGTCCGGGGCGAAGCTTGAAAGACGTTCCACATCTGGAAGTTGAATTGTTGGTGTGCCACCTTCTGCTGCCTCGGCTGGGTGAGAGATTTGAAGCGCTTGCGCATCCTGCCCGCCGTCAACAGCGCCTTGCGGTCGGAAAGGCTTGTAGTCACCTGTCGCGGCCGGTGCTTCGTTGCTCGATGGGAAGTGGAGTTCAGCAGACGTCAGGCCTGGAATAGTTGCTGTCGCTGTCGCATTGGAAGGACCTGCGCTTGACTGAGCGCCGCTGCGATCCTGCGGCACCGCGCCTTCTGATCTCATCCGCTTGTAGATATCGACCGGGCGAACGATTGGGACGGTGCGTGTAGCGGGCTCGACCGGGTCTGCAGGCTGTGCGCGAACCGAATCTCCTCCAAGAGTCGCGACCTGGTCCATCGATCGGGATCGATCCATCGAAGGGAGTGGCGGTCGGGAGACGTCCCTCGTGAACATGCTCGGAAGATCCCCGGTGCTTTGATTCAGGTTGTGTTGCGGAACCGGTGGAGGCTCGTCGTCGTCATACTCGCCGTACTCATCGTCGCCCCAGTCGTTTCCATCGTACGAGTACTTCTTCGCTTCTACCCAGCGTTTTGTCTTTGCTCGGTTGACATTAGGCTTGAAAGATACAGGTGTTTCTCCACGCGGGACTGGCGACATGGGACTTTCTGTGTTGGAGGAGCTGCAGACCGAGGCGTCGGGATATATTAGTACAGTCCAGTCCAGTGGTGGGCGAAAGGGGTGGCTGCATGGACTCACAGCTTCTGTAGCTCGGGCTCATAGGGCTGAAATGGACGGGCCATTATTCTCACACGACTAACTACCCTGATCAGCAAGGCTGGATCGAGAGTTGATTTCAACAGTTCAGGTGGTGTTTAGAATGGATGATTGGCATGTCCAGTGCCAAGAGTGAATGTCAGAATTGAAACGAGTGACCCCAGTCAAAGGCGCGGTGAGCGCAAGGTGTTGAGCGGGTGTAGATGACGTGGGAGGAAGAGGAGGAGGAGGAGGAATGGGGGCAGTGCGCCAAGAGACGGGGCGGTGCACGGAAAGAAAATCGACGTCGAGATGGGCTGAAGCCGTTGTTTTTAAAAAGTGGGATAAAGAGCTCTTGAAAGTGGGATCCCACCACGATAGATGAGCTGCGATAACGTTATTTGGGGTGGTTGGATTGAATTGAATTGGATTGAATTGAATGGGATCGGGTATATGATCTCAGCTTCAATCTGCCCCTGATTCCACCCAACCTGAACGGTCATTGGCTGGTTTGGTGGCCGCCTACCAGCTGTGGCTGGTGTGGAGCCTGGTGGCTAGTGTCAGTGTGGGGTGGCTGGTGTGTGCACGTGGCTGGACTGGTCACTAGTCCTAACTAGTAACTACTAACTAGTAACTAAACCAGTTGGTGAATTTGCTGCATTGCCGCTTTCGCCCCGTCCTCCACTTCCACTTCCTCCCCCATTCCTCTCGTTCATCATGACTATCTCGTTGTAATTCCGCTTCTCTTCCTGTCAACACACTGACTCTCCGCTCCTCCTCTCCTCCCCTACCCTCCCCATCCACATAACGTGCTCTCAACTACCCCTCTCTCTCTACCTCGACCTCCGTCTCCGCCCCGACAAAAACGAACGGACACGTCTCCAGTTGCCTGCCTCCTTATCGATTAGTCCGGACTCCGTGCCGTACAATCAATCCCCTCCCCATCGCACCGCACCCGACCGTTGGTTCTAGATTCGGCGATTGGCATCCTTTCGACCATCCTCGGAGTATAGTGATTTTGCCTCGCTTACTGCTCACGTCCATCGCATCTTCGCTCAATCGACCTCCCCATCCACCTCCCCATCCACCACCACCACTCAGCCAACGACCCTCACACGCACAATGGCCGGCCCGTCCATCCAGGATCGCACGGGCGAGTTTCACGCCATTCTCGGCCAGGCCCAGAAACGCCTAGCCTCCAGCAAAGTCGGCCCTCAGCGCCAGGCCCTCCTGTCCGATGCGCAGCGCCGACAAGCCAATGGGTCCGCCGATGCACAACACCCGGGGAAGCGACGGTCGGAGTTTGCGCGGAGAGCCGTGGAGATCGGACGCGGGATCACGGCGACGACCGCCAAGTTGCAACGGCTGGCTGAGTGTGAGTCGGCCACCTCCCCGAAACCTTGCAAAGGCTGACTGGGAGAATTTTGGTGTGTTTTTTAGTGGCAAAACGCAAGACACTCTTCGACGACAGACCGGTCGAAATCTCCGAGTTGACCTATGTCATCAAGCAAGATCTCGCTTCCCTGAACCAACAGATCGCCTCGTTGCAAGCGCTCACCCTCTCCCAACATCCGAAGAACACTCGGTCCAAAGCGGACCAGGAAGGCGAGCATAATGATAATGTAGGTCCCATAAAAAATGAAAAAAAAATATACGAGGCTAACGATCAACGCAGGTGGTCGTGATGCTGCAAGGGAAACTGGCCGACGTGGGCGCCAACTTCAAGGACGTCCTCGAAGTGCGCACGAAGAACATCCAAGCGTCGCGCTCGCGCACCGAGAACTTCGTCTCCTCCGTCTCGCAGAAGTCCCACACGGCCCTCGACCCCCAGCGCTCCGACTCCCCGCTCTACAACCCCTCCGGCCGGCGGACGCCCCAGCCCGGCGGCGGCGGCGGCGGCAGCGCGGATCTTCTGACTCTGGAACCCACGAACCCGTCGCCACTGGGCCGGCCGTCGATCCACTCGGACCAGCAGCTCCTCGTGATGGAGGAGGCGCAGACGAACAACGCCTACATCCAGGGCCGCGGCGAGGCGATCGAGGCGATCGAGCGCACCATCAGCGAGTTGGGCGGGATCTTCGGGCAGCTGGCCCAGATGGTCAGCGAGCAGTCGGAGATGATCCAGCGCATCGACGCCAACACGGAGGACGTGGTGGACAATGTGCAGGGCGCGCAGCGCGAGCTGATGAAGTACTGGACCCGGGTGTCGGGCAACCGCTGGCTGATCGCCAAGATGTTTGGCATTTTAATGGTATGTAGCCCTCCGCCCTTTGCTATAACTTTGCAGCGAAATCCACTCAGCTAACCCACCAACCAGATCTTCTTCCTCCTCTGGGTGTTAATATCAGGATAAAGACACCCTTCCCCTTTCCCTCAAACACAAATCCCTCCCTCTCAACATAATGTATTAATACCAGGTCCATGTTCGTGTCTTGCTGTGCCTGAACGAAATCATGTAGCCCTCCTTCCTTTTCTCTAATACACCGCTACACCCTTTCCTTTGTGATATGTGTGTGTGTGTGAGTGTATGTGTGTGCATGACCTACCTCACGCAGGGGGCAGGCTTTGCCCGCCCTTCTTCATTCTTGCTTCTATCCAACTCAACCCAACCCTTTTGGCCTTGGCTAGATCTTCCATGTGAAACCCTTTTCATCTCTCTGCCGAGTGCCCATGTCACTACTACAACGCCAACGCCATCCCCCCAAATCCCTCCCTCCCGTCGTGCTTGACAGTTGAAACGCAAGCATGACTTCATGTGCATAATGGGTTCACGAGTGTCATCATTGTTGTTGTTGTCTGTCGAGTAAATTAGAATCAATACCTGACCTCTAACACCCCCGCCATTCAATATCTCCTGTTTGATGATTGATGAATTGGAATAGTAGTAGATTCTTTATGAGCGATGCGGCCTCGCTTGAGGTACGAGTAAGAGTATCGAGGATAGGTAAGTATACATAGTACAAGAGGGAGTATATACCGTTTATACAGCTCACCCATATCCCAACCATATCACAGGCTATAGGCTATAGGCTATAGGCTATAGGTCTATAAATATACCCCCCCCCCCCAACAAGCCGAACCAACCAACCTACAAACAAACCGCACACCCTAACCGCGGCCCCCCACCATGCAGTACCCTTACCACCTCGGGCGCATGCGGCCCCAGCCCCCGTTCACGGATTGCCCGCTCCGCCGCGGCGAACCAGATCTCCTGCAGCCGGGGCACCATGCCCGAATGGCCGGTGTCGGGGGGGTCGGTTTGGTCGTCGCCCACCAGCGCCGCTAGGTAGTCCCCGTAGTCGCGGCGCATGTGCCATAGGAAGTCCATGCGGTGGGACCAGTGGGTGTGAGTTTCGGAATGGTGGGGGTGTGATTGTGTTTGGGTAGGTGGATGGTCGATGTGGTTATTGTTAGGGTTGTGGCTGTGATGGTGCTGGCGCTGGTGGTCATGCTTCTCCGTTTTGTTTCGGGGGCCTGGATGCTGTGGGGTGGAATCGTCGGCCGCAACGGCGACGAAGAGATCGACGATGCGTTCGAGGGTGGAGGTGGTGAGCAGGAGACTGACCCATGTCTGGGAGGAGGTGTAGGGGATGTCCGGGGCCATGAGGTGGCGCACGGTGTGGATGAGGGTGTGCATGGTGTGGTGGGTGGCGAGCAGGACGTCGGGGTCGGTGAAGGGGGGTTCCTGGAGGATGCGTTCCTGGCAGTCCAGGGAGTGGGTTGGGCTGGTGGTGTCGGCGCAGGATTCCAGGAAGTAGACGAGGTAGGTTCTGGGATGCGGCGAATTAGCCTTGACCTTGATGAAACCCGGGGTAGTGAGGGCATACATGGATGGGAGCAGGCGGGCTTGCAGTGCGCCGACGCCCTTGCTGTAGACGAACTCCTTCTCCGTCTTGGAGGAGGCCCATAGCTCCCGCGCCGTGGGATCGGTCTCGAGGTAATGCTGCACCAGGTATTCGGCCAGGTAGAAGGACAGCCGCACGCAGGTCCGCCAGCACCGCGTGAGATCGGTCAGGTAGCCGAACGAGTAGTCGGGCGATTCTTCCAGCGTGCCGCTCGCGGTGTAGTGGGGAGGCGGGGGCGGGAAGAGATCAGATACGAAAGTGAGGTCGTCGCCGATGGCGACGTTGGGTTCCTGGCACTTTTGAGGGTGATATGGATCCTCTCGCCGCCGATGTTGGAGATAAGCTTTGGCGATAGCAGCTTCATTGTGATAGACCCGCTGGTGTAAGAGGCGGCATGTAGCCGAGAAGGAATGGATCTCTTCCAATTCGCATTGTACCAGGATCTTCACTAGAACATCCACGGGAAGCTTCTCCCAGGCAGTGCGAGTGTTTCTCGCAGGCTTTGAGATTCTATGTTTTGCGTCAGCGGGTGTCACAAGTGGTTTGTTGACATATGGGTCTGCGATTTACATGGGAGATTTTCTGGGCCGCTGAGACGACGGATGCCGTCTGGCTTGCCGCACAACTTGGCGCAGGTGTTCAAGGAAATGGCTCATTGTTAATAGGGGTCAAGACCACCGAGACTTGGTCTTCAATGATGTTCAACAAGTCCACTTGGCGCTCATTTTGAAAGGCAGGATTGAGATTGTGATTATTCAGCTACTCCATCTGCTTCTTGGGGAAATGCTTAGCCGGATGAAATCAGATATGGGTCCGATCTTCGCTTGGTGGACCCGACTCGCGTTGGATCACCACTCTTTCCAAAATGTGTCACCATGACCCAAGGGATAAAAGATACAAATTGCTGCATTGAGTTGTGTCAATGCTGAATTTGAGGTGAGGCCGGCCTCGAATTATGCGTTGCAGCGGCTCCCAACAAATCCATGATTCAAACACAACAAGTGCAACAATGTGTATTCCGCGCCAGCCCATCGACCCGAGACGCGATCGAGTGGGGTGCGATATCGTCACAGTGGACACCATGTCTCGCATGCTGAAACAGTGGCAACCCCCAATTCTACACGTTCAGGTGTGGATCGCCATCATTCGTGTACTGGTGCTGGAAATCCTCAAGCAACCGATCCCACTGCGTCCAATCCATGGGGCTGAAATCGCTAACCTGGTCCAGATCAAGGGTCCCGAGTCCCTGTCCACTAGGAAAGACTGCCTCGACGAGCTGATCCTGATCTCGGCTGCTAACGCCTATCGGAGCTCCTTCGTAAGAGATTTCTGCACTGAGATCTTTAGCGACCAATTGCTGCTTGCCCCGCATGTCGCAGATTGTAGACACAATAGCAGGACATGGAAGAGGAGGCATGCTACAACGAGCCCGCTCCGCTGCATGTGCCTTCCAAGACTTTAGAATCAAGTTCTGCAAAGCCACATTGAACGCTATCCTCTGTTGTCGCGCCTGCAACCTGCGAAAATGTCGACTACAGATCCGGTCGATGAGGAACCATGCCCTGCCCGACTCCTCCCCATCGACACGATTCCGTAACTCATAGAGCATGTGTATCAGCGGTGTCCAGGGAATGTGATTCTCCACATGCCACTTATACCGCTGGGTGATATCGCTCGTCTGCACCAGATCACAGTTCTCGGCCATGCGCACGCAGTTTGAGAAGATTCGATCTTGATCGGACTGTGAATTATGACTTCCCTGTTCCGCGTGTTGGCGAGGGTGATGTGCAGAGAAACGGAGCAGAGATGTGATCGCATGGATCACGATGCTAGTCATCTGGTGCAGCGGGATCGAGGTGTCGCAGTATTTCAAGTATTTTGTCTCGTAGATCTGGCTAAGCTCATCAATCGCCCTATCCTTCTCAGCTAGTGAGATTGCCGAATTGCGCAAGAAGCTTTGACCCGTTGGCAAGGTGTCTGACTTTCCCGACCATCGAGCAAGCCACTCGCCAAATTCACAGCGGGCCAGGCAGAAGATCATTTCGGTCGCTCCACTATGTTCACGAGGCCTTTCCGTCATCCGCAGGTCTAGATCGCAGTCGTTGGCATTCGCCGGACGCTGCACATCGGCAGCCATCAGAGATGTCTGGGCAGCAATGCCTGTAAGCTGTGCCGTGGTAGCGTCTAATATACTCAGCTGAAGCCAAAGGCGTCGACGCATTTCGGTCTCGAAGATAGAAAGGCCATGGTGGGAGCCATCTCGATGGAGTCCAATACGCTGTGCCACCCGGATAGCGACACCGCAAAGAGACCAGATTGACTGTGGATCCGAGAATGCTCGCATTGCAAGCTACAGGCCATTGTTAGACATATGACCAACCTGGCTTCAGATACGCGCTTCAAAGCAGAAAGACGAGCACCGCCCATAGTTCCATGCATGTTAGAAAACGGGCACGTACCAAATACAACAGAAACGCCTGAAGAACCACAACATCCGACGTGCGTAGAATGCCAGCATTCGAAAGAGCAAGTCGAGCTCCCCGACGGAAGCGAGACAAAAGGACAGCCTTGCTGTCTCCGAAAGCCTGCTGGACGTCATGCGGGGCCATCGAGATCAGCGCGATACAGTATATACAGAACAGAAGCGCCTCAAGCCCTTTCGGGACGGCGCTCAGCTCCCCGATGGCATCGATGATCTGCTGCTGAACTGTGGGTCCATGCAGGATCTTGATCAAGGGGTGCACGTTCTCCAGAAAGACCTGCCAGAGCTTGAAGATGTGCAACGGCTTGGGATGTAAGTCCGTGATCTGCGTCTTCGTGCGTGCACCGAGAATAAGAGAGGACTGGTCATCTGTCCCCTCTAACGACTGGTCCGAATCACTGTAGACCGACGCATCGCGTAGCACGTCCTCCGCGGGTGGCAGCTAGAACGATTTAGCATTCACGAAGAATTGATCTAGAAACTTTTAGTCTTTCCATACCTCGGTGCGGATACTTGACCACATATTCCTAGCCGGCCAGTCAGCTAATCCCATCCCGAGGCGTCTAGCATATGCTACACATGACCTAACTTTAACTTACCCATCGACATAGACCGACCTCCCCCCGTCTGTAATCAACATACCCGGATCATTCCCGGTGGGCGCAAGAGACGTGTTCGACATGGTCATGGGCGAGAGCAGCCCCTGTGTATCACCCCTAGGGCCAGACGAGCCGGTGTCCTGTCTGGAACGTCGGGGGCGCTGTGGACTGGCTGGACGATGGGCCTCATCCGAGGGGCGCCGCTTGCGCCGTCGTGGAGGCGGATGTGCTCGATAAGTGCATTCAGTTCCATTCTTCGCACACGCGGAGCAAGGGACCTGGCGATCACATCGGACTTTGCGCCTGTTACAGACCACGCAGGACGGGATTTTGGGCGTCTCGGCCCAGGCAGCTAGCGGGGTCTTTTCGGGGGTACCTGAGTCTACCATTGCTGGATAGAATAGATTCTGGTCGATGTCAGGGCATTGGAGGAGGGTATGAGATAGGGTGATGCTCAATTGCCACGTTATATGGGCGATTTTGTTCGGAAGGGTTGGGTGGGATGGGGAGAGGTGCGGATGT